TTCACTCTGTCCAACGCTTTCTCCTGGTTGACAATTACTGTGTTTAGTTCCCAGTTGTGTTCTATTACCCTTTTGCACATTTGAAGTAGGGCAAATATTGCGTCGGTGCATCTTCTTCCCTTTCTAAATCCCATTTGGGCCTCACTCAGAAATGGTTCAACTTTGTGTCTTGTTCGCCATTCCAATATCTCGCGAACATCCTGCCCATATGGCTTAGCAGTGAAATAGTTACTCAAATTCTCCAAAAGCGGTTATTTCATATCTTCAAAACTTAAAATCTTTTTGAAGTAAAGTCTATATCAATGAAACAGTGAAAAGGAGAACTTGAGAGCCGATTTTTCATGCTCAAAATGATCGTTATTAAGGCAACGTGTGTGTTTTTGCAAATAAACTATATGCAACGTGAATTTAATACTTTTTTCAAAATAAGGTATACTTGTATATTTTATCCAAAACTAAGTATGTAGTAGACATTCTTAAGTTAAACATAAATGTGATACTGTAACTTCCGGACAGCATATTCACTGGCGGGCGCCGGTTGATTGAGATCGCCATATTTACATAGTTTAGGAGGCAACTTTCGACACATGTATTAATTAGTCCATCAGCTCTTGTGAAGAGTGTTAATTATTCATAAGTAATAAGCGATTGATATCTGATCTGCCAGTAAATTTCGATGACATCTAAAATATCTATAAAGTTGCTGATACATCCGTTTATACAAATGTGTGAGTGTTGCAGTTTTTCCACGATGAAGTAAAATACGAAGGATAGATTGAAAAAAACTGGCAGGTACAGTGTGCTTTAAATTAATAATTAAAAAAAACCCCAACCTATGTTGAAGCCCATGCTGTTTTAGACTCCACTTACATGTCAAGACAAGGCCAAACCACCTGCTCCCCCCTACCCTCGAAAAAAGACAACTGAGAGGAAACTTGGTTAGTTATATCCTTTGAGATTTTTCTTTTTTGTTGAACTTCTGAGTGTATGCGAAGTTCATTGACAGCCACAGACTTCTCGCGGCAGGATTGTTTGTGTAGTCTCATATTGTTACATGCAAGCAGCAGAAGATGTGCAATGCAGACACAAAAATATTAGTTTGAGATCTTTTTGCTAAAATTCAACAAGTCAAAACTTGTACATAGTCTACACTACAAAAAATAAACAAAGTCCATCAATTTGGTGCGCATTTGAGAGTATGTGTAAATGTTTGTGTGTATATATGGAGGTGTGTGTGTGTGTGTGTGTGTGTGTGTGTGTGTGTGT